CGACGGTATCGACAGCGGCCTACCTTCGGTGTCTATGCGAGTAGTGCACTCTAAAAGACTGGCGCCAGCGTACGCACCAGATTCGTCCAGCTTCTGCAAGCATGGATCAGTCACTTAAGGCTCAACACAGTTTCATTTCGTGGCTACTTAAAGGCTCTTAAGGGGGGACACCCCCTAGGGGGTCAACTTTTGAACCCTTGTCTTACAATTAATGAAATTTACAGGGTAGGTTGGTGGTCATGCTAGAGGGTGTATAACAAAATTTCAAGTCTGTCGGTTAAATGGGAAGGAAATTAGAGCAGCTTCTATCAGCAACACGCCTACATTGTTTAGTTAATCTATCGTTGGAAAACTATCACAATATTCAAGATTTTTATTTGCTAGATAGGTAGCAGAATGCCTAGAGGGTGCGGCTATGGAACGTTTTTTCTAAAAAGTATATTATTTCTATAAATTGTTTCTTCTGCAAAATTGGTCAATTTTTTGGACTTCTGTGTCTTTGACAAAATGTCAACATTTTTTATAAAAGACATCCGTAAAGTGACAAAAATGTTCCATAGCCGCCCTGCCCTCCTTATTAAATTTCAGTCAGGAAAAGGAAAGAATGAGCCTTCCCTGTTTCGCTCTTATCAAACGATAGATTGACTAAAATGGAATTTATACCAAAAAGTGGAACGGAGAAAAATGCATTCAAAGTGCTCCAAACCCTACCTTTTCTTTAGCTTTGGACAGAAAATAATTTATAAAAAATTAACTATGCAGTGTAAATTAATTAAACTTTTTAGGAGTACTCTCCAGATGTTAATGGATGTAAATATGTCATTTTACAAAATCAACTTTTTTTGCAGAAATTTTTTTTTTCTGGGCAGTGTCCCCCCTTAAGTTAGGCTCATATTTTACAACCGAGCTGCTTATGGCTAAGGTCCTGCAGATTTTTCGTGTGCAGCAACAGAGATGACGTCACAGTTTCGTGACGTCACGAAGCCGTCACGTCACAAAGTTGTGTCACGTGGTGTCAATTTACCTGCTAAATTTAGAGGAGAAATTTCCCTGTCACGTGTGTCTAATTTCCTCTGGCTTTTCGGGGCAGTGATAGACATCAACATGTGCGTGCGTACCTTTCGTCACGATGACCACCGATCAAGAAAATAAATGTGTTCGTACCTTTGACCAAAATTCTGTGTCATGTCTGTGTCGTGTGCTAAACTGCTTCACTGGTCATCCACCGTCACAGACTGGAATGGTTCATGATTTTTGCAGCATCTCTTATGATGCAACTTACGCCGGTAACCTGCACGAGGTAACAATGAGGAAACTTTACAGCGGAGCTGTGATGCGCTAGGATCTAATAAAAAAAATTGTAAAGCCCTCCACTTCACGTAAAGATGGAGGACCAGCGAAGCTGTTATCTTTATGCTGTCTAAGGTGATGTCTAGAGGACGACGTCTAGGACGACCTCAAGGACGACTTCTATGACAACCTCTAGGACGAACTCAAGGACGACCTCAAGGACAACGCCTAGAAGGACCTCAAGGACATTGTCTAGGAGGACCTCAAGGACGACGTCTAGGAGGACCTCAAAGACGATTTCTAGGACGACCTTGAGGACGACGCCTAGAGGACGACCTCTTGGACAACCTCAAGGACAACAATAGGACAACCTCGAGGATGACCTAAAGGACAACGTCAAGGACGACCTCGAGGACAACGCCTAGAGGATGACGCCTAGAACGAACTCTTGGACGACGTCAAGGACGACCTCGAGGAAAATGCTTAGAGATCATAACACGGGGTCAGGACCGCACTATCTAATAATGCCAAGGAAGGCTGACTCACGCTGGCTGCCCCCTCTAATTGTTTTTATTTATTCATACTTGACCCCTCTTTTTGTTTTTATTTGTTCATACTTGCTACGACCAATGGGAAGTTTTGTGTCGACATGTGAGAACGCATATTTTCCCCAACCCTAGCGTATAACAGCCTTGCTATAATATGCATCCGCGGATGTTGACAGAAAATTCCCCATTGATCGTGGCAAGTATGAATAAATAAATATAGAAAAAGGGGGAAACCAGCGTGAGTCAGCCTTTCTTGACATTATTAGATAGTGAGGCCCTGATCCCTTGTTATCTCTAGGCATCGTCCTCAAGGTCGTCCTCGAAGTTGTCCTAGAAGTCGTCATCGAGGTCATCCTAGGCGTCGTCCTTGAGCTCGTTTTAGACGTCATCATAGAAGTCGTCCTTGAGGTCGTCCTAGAAGTCATCCTTGAGGTCGTCCTAGACGTCGTCCTAGAATTTGTTCCCAAGGTCTTCCTAGAAGTCGGCCTTGAGGTCGTCCAGAGGTCATCCTAGGTGTCGTCCTAGACGTCCTCAAGGTCAACCTAGACGTTGTCCTCGAGGCCGCCCTAGACGTCGTCCTATAGGCGTCGTCCTCAAGGTTGCCCTTGTGGTCGTCCTAGAAGCCGTCCTTGAGGTCGTCCTCTAGGTATCGTCCTAGACATCGTAAAAATACAGTCTAAATACAGACCTGGTTGCAAGAGACATGTGGATATAACATACCAATTTGTGAAGTACAGTTGGTTTCCCTTTACGTGCCATTGACTCAACTTCATATCTGCATTCAACATACTCCTTTTACAACAGACCGAAATCTTGGTCAAAATAAAGGTCTGTAATAAAGAGCAGACTGTAACAGCTTCACTGGCCCTCCATCTTTATGTTAAGTGGAAGGGCTCTACAATTTTTTTTAAGGACAGTCTGTTAAAAAGATTAAGTTTCAAGGTTTTGCTAATACAGTAAAACCTCGTCAATTCGGATCTCATAGGACCGGCAAAAATGTCCGAATTATCCGAAAGTCGAAATATCGAAAGGACAAAAAAAGCTGCGCGAAAACGTTTCCCTGTGACATACATTTTGACAAGAAATCTGCTATTACCGCCTGCTTTCTGGACGACACTTGGGCGGAGACAACAACTTTCCTTAGCGCGGTCGAGTGCTCCACCGCACTCGCACTGCCGGAGCTACGCATCCCGTGTGCTGACAATGTAGCACAGCAAGCCCTCTTCTAGTTTCGGGAGCACCACCTTCCAAGGCCGCTTTCTTTTCGCGTTGAACTTCTCGCTCTCGAAAGCCTGTAGGATATCAGCCACAATTTTTATGTACGTGGCCAAAGCGCTTCTCTTGACGTCGCAACTTTCCATCACTTGTAGAGAGACGCCGCCCTCCAAGGCCCTCAGTATTTCTACTTTCGTCGCTAAATTCTTAGCCTAGTACAGCTGCAATGGAAAACGAGTAGCACAACTGACCAGTAATCGGAGCGGCGAAATCGCGACACCCGGCGCTATTTTTCCCGAGTGCCGATAGCGAGAGTGCCAGTCACGTTGCATTTTTCAATGCAGGGGTGGCCGGCGAAAAATTGAGGGGTAGGATAGTTGTTAAAATGGCGGGCTTTAGAATCCCCGCGTTGAGGCATAAAACGTGACTGTCACTCTCGCTATTGGCACACTCGGGAACAATAGCCCCGCGTGTCGCGATTTTGCCATTCCGGTCGTCGGTCACTTGTGCTACCCTTTTTCCGTTGCAGCAATGCTTCTGCCGCTTCCATGCCAGGAGAGTAACGCGCTGAAGCACGGCGATCCTGAGCAAAGCTGGTGCGAAACACGGAGAACCGGAAGAGTGAAGAAGCATGGGAAAACCGGAAAAACCACGTGTGCACTTCGGATGGATAGCGGTCATACCTTTTGGAACAGACGGTAGCTAGCGCCACCTGCCGAATTCGTCCGAATTAACCATAGTGCGCCGCGTTCCCTCCGAATTAATGAGCGTTTGCTGCCATTGACTAATACATACGTTTGACGGGACCGGATCGGCAGTTCAAATTATCCGAATTTCCGAATTAGCGGGGGTTGAATTAACGAGGTTTTACTGTAGTTATAAGTGGATTGCACCGTTGTATTACCATATTTTCTCGATTCTAAGCACCCCCCTCTATTTTCGCGAATCGGGAAAAAAGTTTGCTTGCGAATCTAAGCACCCCCCCATGCAGAGGCAAGCGGGCTCGTGACGCCCACGCGCCTCTCCAGTCCGGCCGTGCTCGCCGTTGCTGCGTTCCTACGCTACACGACAGATGACGGCACAGGGCGTCAAAAACCGGTTGAAAGCAACCCTGTGTGGCTTTCAACCGGTTCAAGGGAAACCAAAGGCCCATGTGACAACATGCAATCAGCATGTTGTCACATGGGCCTGGTATTGGCAGCGCTCGGCAGGTTTCGCTTTCACGGACACTGTCTCTGAAAGCGAAATTCACTGTCTCCATCAATTTTTCTTTTAAATGTTTGCAAAATAAAATGGTATTTCTCACACCCGTCTCGTCGTCATGTCGCAGCGAAAAGAAGGGGAGGGCGGTCATTCTAGATTTTTCGAATCTAAGCACACCCCCTCACCCCCCCCCCCTTCTTATATTTTTTTTCGCTTTTAGTGGGGGGGGGAGGCCGCCGCAAAGCGGGGGAGCCGCAAAACAATGGCCTCCAAGGCTGCGCAACCATCCCGACATGTGGGTGCGAATATTTTGGTAAATACTAATTGCAGTCCCGAGAGTGGAGAGCCATGTTGGATGGGCAGCGAATGCGAAACTAGGCTAACACAAATTTTATTCGCGGAGTATGCAACTCGGGGGCCGGACAGTGCGAGACGAACGACCATTTCCTTTTTGCCAAGGCAGTTGAGACGGGGGTGGCAAATACTCAGTGTTGGCGGTCCCCAGAGAAAGAATGAGCGAGAGCTACGGAAACGCGTGAGTGGACGACACGTCGGTCATTTTGTAGGGGTTAGATCTAGTAAAAGCGTTTGTTTCTCTTTATATGCAACGCCGGTGTTTTCGTACATAATAAAGCTAGGGGAACTAGGCACAGACTTTAGAAGCAAAGCTTTGCCGCTTTTCTGCGCAAACTGGCCAAAATGTACGGGACGGTGGAAAGGAAAAGCCCGTGGCCGGAGGCCCACCTGTCGGCCTGCAGAGAGACGGCCAGGGAGGCGTTGATGGAGACCAGCTCGTTGTGGGGCTCTGTGCGCTTGAAGAATGCCACCAGAGTGGGACGGTCCTCCCGGGCGGGGCTCATCACCTGCACCCAGAGACCCGCTGCACTCTCCGCCTCCCATCCACTTACACTTCATACCTTGGTTATCTTAATGCTACCCTCTAATCCCAAAATTTTGCCCATCCATCTCAAGTTAGCGGGGAAATTGATATCATGTGAACAAATTCAGTTTCCCCGCTAAATTTGGCGGGAAAATTAGTGTCTCACATTACCCAACGTCGGGACCTACAGAAGCTTTCGGTTTAAAATAAACAAATAGAACTATCCCTTCTTGAAGACTCCATTTCATGCATATAAAACTTTAAAGAGCAACTGCAAAAAAAAAAGTTTTTTTTTTTTTTTTTTTTAAACAGCCTGATTGGGACAAGCATGTCACAAAAAAAAACTTCTGCAAAAAAAAAAAACATTTTTTTTTTGCAACATTTATGTTACAGGACGTAATTGAGTCAGAGTCCCAACCTCTATACATTTAAAACTCCCGCTCTTTCGACCCGTGCGGAGAAGTACGCCCCACCCTTCGCTCTTGGATCGACTCGACTGCGGAGTTGAACGACAAACACAGGGTCTCAACTTCTGGTGAGTCTTGTCAAAGACACACCGCGGAGGACGACTGCCAGAACGAACATGGTGCACCTCCCGAACCTTCAGCACGGTTGGACGACACCCGCTGGTAATTAACTCCAGCTGTTCTTCGTTAGGCGGGACAAAGGACTGCGTCGCTGCTATCTTCTCGCCCGCTTCTACGAATTGGCCAGTGGATGGCTCGGGTGTTACCCAACTGCCTCGATTTGTCAAGACTAAAAGAAAAAAGTGCTGCCAACTAATGCCGACGGCCCACGAGTGCGTCAGCTGCCTGCAAGTTCCAGAGCTCGCCCGCAATCAATTGCTGTAATTTTTTTTTTTTTCGCGGTAAAATTGTTTCGTAACATGCTTGTCCCAATTAGGCTGTTTAAAAAACCACATTTTCTTTGCAGTTACCCCTTAAACAATTTTTTTTTCATTCTTACTATTTATTTATTTCATTTCATTAATTTACTATTCTATTATTTTCATCTCATGGCCACGAATTTAAAAAATTCTTTCCAGACCAGCTGCGCTCAGGGGCCATGCACCAAACCAACTTGGAGCTTCGACATAACCGTCTCTGCCAGCACATCACTCGTTTCTGACCCTCGTTCCCGACGCTTGTTTGTGACAACCTTCTCGTATAGAAGAACTGGTAAAACATGCATTAAAAGACAAACTAGCCGATAAAGGCCACAAACCTACGGCAAATTAACTGTCTGCTGGGCTCCAAAGGAACACCAAAGAAAACTCTGCAGGGTTGGTGCCACCTCGAGTTCACCGAGACCCAGTTAAGGGGTATTCACAAGAGGGAGAAATCCCAGGGATTTCTCCCCGGCACGCGCGCATCACGAGACGAAAACGCGAGGCTTCTGCATAATGCAAAGAACGACGTTTTCGTCGCGGGATGCGCGTGCCGTGGAGAAATCCCCGGGATTTCTCCCTCGTGTGAATATTCCCTTAGTAACACGGATCACTTCGACGTGCGTATCGACACGCCCTCTGTACCGTGCTCTCTTCCAGTACGACGCCAATGGAAAAGGCTCCTACCTCGTCACCATTGCGCCAAAGAACGCTGTGGGTACTCGAGTGTCTTTTTAGATTGCAGTTGGGGATAGTAAGCAGACTTTTGAATTCATAGTATTACAGCTACTCCGACGGCGTGGCACTCTGGTGGTTTGCTTTGAAACCGACATACGAACAGAGGCACCGTCCCGGACGTGGAGGAACGTGGGCTAACCTTGACGAGCAGCTCCAGGTCCGGGGGCACCAGCTGGGTGAGCCGCAGAGTTGCACTTTCCGTCCACGGAAGCACCTCTCCCAGGCGGCACGCCAGGGCCTGCGGAGGACGGCGCTCGCTCTGACGAGAAAACCCTCTCCACGTTGGGAGGAACCCGGCTGACCGACAAGACGCCGGACGAGTCCTTCGCAAAACCCTCGCACCCGTCTAAACCTGTGCGGGACCTACGGGTCGCGTCATTTCAGAATAATTCCGACGCGAAAGGTGCTACGTTCGCTTTACGAGTATTAACCGATTCGCTACCGAAGTTGGGGAACCGCCGGGCGTGTCGTCAGGGGCCATATTGCCAAAGCCAGCGTCGGTCTGCATGATTTTGTTTGGCGTGCTACGTACACTTGGGACAGTGCAGTTAGACACATTGCCAACAGATGGCAAGAGTCATTCTCTTCACTGTGTTTGTTGGAGCTTGTTTTTGTGTGTGACGTCTTTCCTGCTTGATCGCTGCCTGCTTGGAGAAGATGGCAGCGTCCAGTGTACGGTGTGGCATTTTTGACGATGAAATCATAGATACCCTTTTCGACAGAGATGATGACGTCTGGTGAGGATGGTGAGTTTTCGGGGCCTTCTGTCGACGACGGGAGCAATTCCGACAGCAGTTGAGTCTGAATCGCAACAGGAAAGCACTGGTTGTGCAACGCCTAAGCGACCGAGGAACAATTGCTTTGGGATCTTTGATACGAGGAAGAATCTGGGAGGGCCTGATGATTTGTAGACTCGATAAACTACTTGAGCATGTATACAAACACGTTTTCTTGTTTCCTGCACCGAGTCTTACTGTAAAAGCTTATTATACAAGCGACAGTCATGCCTAGTGTGGCCCTGTTTTAGGGGGGAAATCCCGTGGCACGGACGACCCGGCAGCGCGCATGGTAGCCAATGGGTTAAAATTTTTCATGGCCTCCCTTAAACGTTCCTTTTTGGCGACGCTCGACGACGACTAGGGCGGAAACTGGCTGAGTTTCGAGACCGGTAAGCAGTCCAAGGACCGAAGCTTCGCGTGCACGTCTCGGAAGAACTCGGACTCCTCCGCTCCCGACCCAAAATGCCATCTGCCGCCACCAGAGCGACGTGGCCAGTTTTACAGAAGAGAATCGGATGGCGACTCCCCACAGAGAGCGGGGCATGCATAGATTTGAAACGAGCAACGCCCACAAGTTTCCTGGCCGCAGGTGCTACCATTTAGTCTGGTAGCACAGAGCAGGCACAACCGACCGCAGTTCCCGCTCCAATGTTCCACAGTTTCGAATGCGGGGAGCTCAGGCAATCTAATTTTGTTCCATCGCAATCCAAGGAACGGGCAGTTTCCGCAATTTCGGGTTTGGGATAACTGGGGCTTGCTCCTTGTGGGCCGTGAATACGAGGGCATTGACGATCGTAGCCGGCAGCGATGAAGCGCTAATTTACCCATCCCTAAACTTCGCATTGGAAATTTCCAGAGCCGCACAATAAATCGAGACCTCGACAGGCGCTTGCGGAGCCCGGAGGTGGCAGTGGCTCTCTGTCGTTCCACCAGAACATGGCAGACCCTACCTGCCGAAAGACCCAGCCGCACCTTCGCCAAGAAGATTACGTAACCCACGAGGCTCACCTCACAGCCTGCCAGCTGCAACACCCTGACCCACATTTCTAGGAAAGTAATAAATTCAAAGTTTGTTCGCTCGCAAAAGCCAATTTTTATTTCCAAATTCCAAAAAAACAAAACTCTCAGCCTCTCTGGTGAAGAAGGAGGACCAGCGAAGCAGTGCTGGGAACAAATTGCAGGCCACAAGTCGGCAAGCCAGAGTGGAAAGGCTGGAAAGGCTGCGTCATCTAAGAGGGACGGCGGCAACCAGACAACCTGCAAGCCGGTTGTCTGGTTGCTGCCGTCGCACATAAATGGCGGTAGCTGTGCAGAGTTTCGTGTCATCATTCGTTTGCTGACGGACACAGTACTAGGGAAACTAGCCCTTTAACAGCTCAGCTGTAAAAAAGATCCTCCTTCCCTCTCTCCAACAGCTGCGCGTTACTCTCTCCGCTCTCTCTCTACCAGCTGCGTGCACTTCGCGTGCGTTCGCTTCTACTCACACCGCGCGCGAAACTCTCCTCCTCTAGTTTCCTCTCCTTCAAGTGTGAATATAAGCAGCGGTAGCGCGCTGCGCGCGTTCAAGGGGAGGAAGTGGTTGAGTGGGCTATTGCGTCTCAGCTCGGAGCGTGGAGCGAAAGCTTGCGCTGGGAACCTCCTGGGTTCGATCCTCGCCGCCCCCGCCCATTTCGATCTGAATGAGTTTCGTACTGGCACGCGTTCGTGTGATCACTACTGCGTGATGCACGTTAAAAAATTACACCATCTTCCCGAGGAGAACCATGGGGTGATGCGGAGCATCGCGGAGTTTCCAACAACATTCACGCGATGTGTGGTAACCAACACAAGTTAACAACATAATAACACGCAAGTTAACAACGTAATAACACGCAAGTTAACAACGTTACTAATAATGTTATTAACAACGTTACTAACACCGTTAATAACGATCCGCGATGCTCCGCATCACCCCATGGTTCCCCTCGGGAAGATGGTGTAATTTTTTAATCCTCATTAGCGCAAAATGACGTTGAACAATATTTGAGCCACTAGATGTAAATTGAGCCAAGAGCCTACCACAATAATCTCGTATCCATTTTGAATTATTTCACGCAGCGAATATTGAATATACCGAATCGTGTCCCATCATCGCATAAAAAGGCAAGAGCTCTTCCGACCTGTGCAGGCACAGCTGCGAGGCCCCGGCACGCCTAGATCAGAGAGTGGTTCCAACGGCTCGATTGGGCTCACGTGGTTTGAGGGCCGCGTTTGCAATACCAGCTGCGAGGAGGAGGCCTCTCCGTGCAACGCCCGTGCATGCAACCTGCCTGCAGTCCCGTGGTCCAAGCCCTGTCTGGGCCCTCCAACACACCTGGTGGGGAAGACGGGCCACGCTGTCCCCAAATGCCTCCAGGTCGTACAGGCTGCCAGGCTCCACCCAGAGTTCCGTCCCCAGGTCGACGCACCTCACGTGCACCTGGACAGAACGCTCTCGTCTCGGCATTCAACCAAAACACAGCCTACTGCCCCACTACGAAAATCCAAAAAGCAAGTGTTCTCGCGTCCTTACGTAGCTACTGTCCTCGACCCGGTGAATTGCTCGTTTTCAACACGCCCATTCACTCCCGCAAAGGTGAAACGGCGCTTTCCACGAGCTGTTTCCACTCGGTAGTTTCATTAGCTGTTGCTAGCAGCCTTCCATTCACCCACTTCTCCAATCACTTCAAATTTGAATACACATACTGTTAGGACCACTTATAACCGAGTTAACGGGAATCTGAAATCGCCTTGCTATATACGTTCCTTCGTTATAGACTGATGGGAACTGAGACTAGACGACGACGACAACACACACTCGTCTGGAGCCGAGCGCGCGAGCGGCGGTTCGGCATCCGCCATCATGAAGTAAAGACGTTTACTGTCCTGGCTCTTCAGTTCTTAGTAGAACATATCGCCACACCGGCAATTCGGTAGTACTTTACCACATTGGCGACGAGGAACACGGACACCCACGCTGGAAACGGTCCCCTGATCGGCGGGTCACCACCGGTCATCTCAGCAAGGATGGCGTACAACGTTCCGCCCTTCAACGAGGCTACAGACAGGTGGGACTCTTATTTCATTAGAGTCGAAGCCTACTTCGAGGGGAATAAGATCACGTCGGCGCCTCAGAAGCGTGCGCTTCTAGTCTCTGCGTTAGAAACCAAAGCTATTCGGGTGTTGTCGGCAAGTTGCGCGCCATTACAAGTATCCGAGCTGAGCTACGACGAAACTGTCAAGCACCTTGATAACTACTTCACGCCGAAGCCAAATGAGATAGCGGAGAGCTTCCGTTTCTTCAGCCGCCGACAAGGAGAAAATGAGACAGTTCACGATTTCCTGGTGGAGCTGCGGCGCATCGCGGATAAATGCAACTTTGGGTCGATGCTCGACCGCATGCTACGGGACCGGCTAGTGTGTGGGCTGCGTAACGAGAAGCTACAGCAGACTCTCTTGGCACGCCGGGACCTGACGCTGGAGTCGGCGGTGGACATGGCAGTTGCCGCAGAAGCAGCGACAAAAGATGCCACACAAATGGTGAAGCCAGAGGGAGAACTCCAGAAGATAACCGCGAGAGGGACCAAGACCTCTCAAACCCGAAGTCCTGGCAGGATCCAAGAGAAGGTGATAGCATCGGAGGCCTGCTACCGTTGCGGGATAACTTCACACCTCCCTAAGGACTGCGGGTTTCGGAAGAAGACTTGTTTTCGATGTGGGAAGATTGGACATGTTGCCCAGCGTTGCACTTCACGCGAGACTACGTCGCGTGCAGGGACCAACGCCTTTGCTGGAACAGAATCTGATGACGACTGTGGCATTGACAGCCTTTTTCCACGACCGCAGCGAGAGGACACGTTGAACCTAATTGCGCCGGTCCGACGGTTGTTCACGTGGGGGGGTGTTGACCTACTCATGGAACTGGACACCGGCTCCCCGGTCTGCGTCATTCCAAAAAGGGTATATGAAGAAAACAAAGCAAGGTGGCCTCGGTTGCAAGAAACCACGTTAAGTCTGTCATGCTACCTCGGTAGGGTGCCAATCATCGGGAAGTTGAGCTTGACGGTCAGTTATGAAGGACGTAAAAAAAAAGCCGAGTTAACGGTTTTGGGATGTAACGGACCAAGTCTGGTTGGCCGTGACGTGATTCGAGCCTTCTGCCTTCTTCCAACTCAGCTGTTGTCCTTGAAGACAGAGCAACATGGAGACTTGAATCAGGTATTGGCAGAATACCAAGAACTTTTTCAACCGGGTTTGGGTCTCATCAAAGGACCGGAAATACATTTGCACGTGAACCCAGGAGCGACACCAAAGTTCTGGAAGGCCAGACCTGTGGCGTACGGGCTACGACAGAAGGTTACCGACGAGATCGACCGCCTGGTGGAGAACGGTATCCTCTCTCCTGTTACCCATTCTGAATGGGCAACCCCAGTCGTGCCGGTCGTTAAGAAAAACGGCTGTATCAGGCTCTGCGGGGATTTTAAACTCACCTTGAACAAGGCTTGTCCAACGGAGCAGTACCCGTTACCACTGATTGAGGACATTTTCGCATCACTGAATGGCGGTGACCTTTTCAGTACGCTGGACCTTCGCGAAGCCTATAACCAAATTCCATTAGACGAGGAGTCCAAGAAGTTGACGGTGATCAACACGCACAAGGGCCTATATTGCTACAACCGGCTACCTTTTGGTGTTGCGTCGGCCCCTTCAATCTTCCAGAGGAGAATGGAGACCTTGTTACAAGGCGTTTCTGGAGTTCAAGTGTACCTGGATGATGTCCTGGTAGCGGAAAAGAACGGGGACAGCGGTGAAAGGCTACGTCAGGTACTGCAAGTTCTCCGTGATAACGGAGTCAAACTGAACAAGGAGAAATGTTGCTTCCGGAAAGCAGAAGTTATCTACCTTGGACACAGGATTGACACAAAAGGGCTGCATCCAACCGGCAAGAACCTGGAGGCCCTCCAGCATGCCCCAGCACCAACGAACGTCAGCGAGCTTCGCTCGTTCCTGGGCCTCATAACTTATTATAACCGGTTTGTGCAAAACATGGCAACATTGTTGTCCCCCTTGTACGCACTGTTGCAAAAGGGAGTAAAATGGCATTGGGGAACAGATGAAGACAGGGCGTTTCAACGAGCAAAAACAATCCTGAGTGAGTCCAACATGTTAGCTCACTATGACCCAACGAAGCCCTTGCTTCTTGAATGTGACGCTTCACCACATGGAATTGGTGCCGTCCTTTCCCACCGTTGTGGAAGCGAAGTGAAGCCTGTCGGTTTTCGTTCTCGGACACTGACGAGTGCTGAGAAGAACTACTCCCAACTGGAACGAGAAGCCTTGGCATTGGTGTTCGCTGTCACGAAGTTTAAGGACTACTTGTTGGGTAGGGAGTTCACTCTGGTTACAGATCACAAGCCCTTGGTAGGTCTCTTTCATCATGACAAGGCCGTGCCGACGATGGCTGCGGCTAGAATTCAACGGTGGGCCATCATCCTGGGTGGATACAGCTATCGCATCGAGTACCGGCCAGGGACAAGCAACGCCAATGCCGATGCCATGAGTAGACTTCCCCTTCAAGCGGATTCGCAGGAACTACAAGAGGAGGATCTTCCTGAAATAATTGCTTCCTTGGAGGAGCTGGATAACGGCTTGGTGTCAGCGAAACAGATGGCACAGATGACCGCGGAAGACAAGACGTTGCGTAGCGTCATCAGTTATATCCAGCGCGGATGGCCGCGGAAGCTATTGATGGAGCAAGAGGGGCTTCGACCTTTCTGGAGCAGGAAAGACGAGCTTTCGGTGCATCACAGCTTGCTGTACTGGGGAAACCGAGTCGTTGTTCCAAAAAAAGGCTCGCGAAGCTGTCCTCAAGCTCCTCCACGAGACCCACCAAGGTGCGTCGGCCATGAAGACGGTTGCTCGCTCAAAGTTCTGGTGGCCCTCATTGGACTCGGCTATCGTAGACCTCACCCAGAGATGTGAGACATGTATTCAAGCGGCTTCTATGCCAGCAGCGCAGAAACCTGTCGATTGGCCGGTGACCGGTGAACCCTGGTCGAGGTTACACTTGGATTATGCCGGGCCCGTCGAAGGAAAGATGATCCTGATTGTCATCGACGCATACTCGAAGTGGATTGAAGCTACAGCTACCAATCATGCAACGTCGGATTCCACAATCCGACAGCTTCGGGAGCTTTTCAGCCGTTTTGGAATCCCACGGACTGTCGTCACGGATAATGGTACACCATTTACAAGTGAAGAGTTCTCTCAGTTCCTAAAGAGGAACCACGTGGAGCACTACCGCACGGCCCCCTATCATCCACAATCGAACGGCCTCGCCGAACGAGCCGTACATACTGTTAAGGATGCCTTGAAGAAGACAAGCGGGTCCACACTGGACGTCAAGTTGTGTCGACTGCTTCTCAATCATCAACGCACGCCTGTGGCTTCGGGCAAGTCTCCATCCCAGTTACTTTTGGGATACCAGATCCGGTCACGTTTGGACACGTGCTTTCCGGACAAGAGGTCAGAGCTGACTGCACAGGGCGGGAGTCAGCCCATTCCGCCATTTTTTAAACCGGGCAGAAAGATATTCTTCCGAAACTTTGGTAAGGGTCCAAAGTGGCTGCCGGGAATCGTCAAGAGCGCAGAAGGCTCACGCATGGTGACGATACAAACCAATTCGGACCTGGTGCGTCGCCATCTTGACCAAGTTCGCCAGCGGCACACAGAAGACCCACTTGGGTTTCCGGAATGGACTGACCCAGAGGCGCCACTCACACCTACATCAGAGAGCAAGGTTCCCTGCGACGGAGCTCTAGCTGAACGAGGGCTGGACCCATTGCCGGGCCCGAATCCCACTGATTCAATTCCCGCAAACCCAAGTTCATCTAAAAGTCCCTCAACAAACCAGAACCAGCCCCTCTCAACTCCTGTACGTGCCACTTCCACGGCGCTCGACTCGAGAGAGAAAAAAGGTTCAGCCCTTCCAGTCTTCTTTTTAAGGGGGAAGATATGATGGGAACTGAGACTAGACGACGACGACAACACACACTCGTCTGGAGCCGAGCGCGCGAGCGGCGGTTCGGCATCCGCCATCATGAAGTAAAGACGTTTACTGTCCTGGCTCTTCAGTTCTTAGTAGAACATATCGCCACACCGGCGATTCGGTAGTACTTTACCACATAGACCGACATGCAGGCTTGACATCGTGGAGCTGCGGCGGCGCAGTGATCGCACCGGAGTCGAGTGGTGTGGGCAGAAGGGCGCACGTTTCACATCGGAGTCGTGGCATTTCAGAATGCCGCAAAGCTGTGTAGTCGTTAATTGCATCGAAAGGTACAGGAAAAGTAGAGGAGCGAGTTTCCACAAGTTCCCGGCGGACTCTGAAAGGCGCAGAAGGTGGATAATATCCGTGGATCAAAAAGAATGGTCGCCTCG